TCCTGCCCTCCAGGCTGCCCCAAGATCCTCGTCCTGCTGGGCTGCAGGACGGGGAAGCCGGGCTTTGGCTGGTGGACAGATGAGTGGTGTAGAAAGAGTGTACCTGGAAGTCATAGAAAAATCATGATGGAATAATGTTCCCGTTCGGGACGGCACAGAGCTTCCCCCAAGTCTGTCCTTTCACTGTCTGCCCCTCTGCCCATCGTGGACGGGCGACAGCGGCAGCCCTGCACGGGCGCAGCAGAAGACGCCCTGCGTGACGTCCGCCCCGCGCTTGCTGGGTGCGTGGCGCGGCGGAGAGGCAGCGGGTCGCCCCGGCAGTGACTTGCTCTTGGGATGCCGTGTGTTCTGTGAACGCCTTTCAGCCTTCAGTTCTCTTTTATGTGCTCAAAACTCACACCTTAAGTAATACATGTGCTTTAAATTTTTGTCCAACTCAAGAAGTGTTCAAAGTGAACACACCTTCCCTCCCTCACACCCCAGGCTCAGCCCCCGAGGCAGCTGGGGGTTTAGCTCACGCCCGGGAGAGCCCTTTAGAGCCCCAGCGGTCAGAGTGATTGGGCAGTTTGGTTTTTACAGCGTTGATATCCCCCAGGGCTGTGTGGTCCCAGCCGTGCACCCTTGCTCAGGATGCGCGGGGCTGGGGCATCTGCATGAGCGCCGGCTGCCACGTGCCACCCGAGCGCCGAGAGGACTGTCCCGTCAGGCGGCCCCACGTCTCCTCTGTTGACCCCGAGGGTCCCCGCATGCTCTCCCCCACCACGCCGGTGTACACGGCCTCACGCCTGCCTCTGCCTTGTGTGGTGCTGCCGCTCCCAGCTCACCGTGCGCCCTCAGCCCTCACGGTGCAGGCCCCTGCTCCTCCTGCCCTAGGGGTCCTGATCGTGTCTGGGCTGAGGAGCGGGAGGAGCTGGAGGGAGCTTGGTCTGCAAGGTGCTTTGCTTCTCCCGCCCCAGAAGGCCTGCACCGGACCGGGCTGCGGTCGCAGCAGGACGAGAGCTCGGGGAGCCCCTCCCGTGCCCAGGCCAGGACCAAATTTCCGGTGGGTTCTTGGAGCTCAGGCCACCCCTCCTGAGGCAGGTGTGAACCAGGAGGTGCTTGGTGACCCTGGGGACTCCATGGGGCAGCAGTGGGGAGCGGGGGTCCTCCCGTGGGGGTGCAGGATGGCTTGGCCCAAACCCCAGGCTCAGTGTGGTCTGGGGGGATGAGGAGGACCCAGGCCCACACTTTCGATCTTGTTCACTCTAAGTGGATGCAGTCAGTCGTGGTGTACGTGTGTGTGTGTGCGCCCGCGCGTGTCCAGTCTGTGCTCCCTGACTCTGACTCCAGCCCAGGAGACTGGATGGATGCATGGTCTACCGATCCCTTCCTTGTCCTCAGCTGTGTAGGACAGCGGGGTCAGGGACAGAGGCGGGAGGAGGGGCTCAGCTGCCCTAACCCTAAGCCTGCTCCTCCTCCCTGCAGCGCCCCTGGGCTGCGGGAGGCAGAGATGCCAGAACCCCGAGGAGTGTGACAGCCAACCAGGCAGCCCTGGGGCAGAGCGCGGGGGCAGTTTTCACCCTTTGGGGCGGCCAGAATTCAGGCAAGAGGGGTACAGGCCGGGGTGGGGTGGTCTAGGAGCAGGCTTGAGAGGGCCGTGAGGGGGAGCAGGTGCTCCAGGGACGCAGCACCTAATTGGAGAGCGGCTTTCTGGGAATGAAAACTTGGCACTAAGGGAGTGAAGAGCAGGAGCCACCAGCCAGGGCCCTGGAGCCCAGGTCAGCCTCGCCGCCGCTGTCATCGTCCCCGTGTACGACGTGTACGCCGGCATGCGTCCATGCACGTGAGCCTGTGCACGTGCAGACATGTATGGGCACATGTATGCAGGTACGCATGTGGCCGGCGGGGCCGATGCCAGCAGCGGGCCCGTGTCTGTCCCCGGCTCTTCCGCTCCACCGTGCAGGACTACTCAGCCACGCCCTTCACCCCTTTTGTGGCTTGGCTTTTCCTGGGTGGGGACAGGGCTGAGCCCTCTGCCTCTGGGAGACTTCTCATCTACTCCCTGAGCCCAGGTCTTGATGTTCCGGTGGCGCCTCTAGGCCTCGGGAAGCCTGGGCTTTAGAACTGTGCCCACAACAGCAGGAAATGGGGGTGACCCTGGAGTCCGCACCTGGAACGGTTTGTTTCCCCACTTCCTGCCAGGAGTTGGGTGCCCTCTGCTAAACTCCCGCCTGGTGCAGTGGACCCTCTGGTGGCCCCGTGTTAGCAGGAGCTGTGCAGGGCCCCACTATCCCCTCCCTGGCCGGTGCACCATCCCATCCCGAGCCCCGTGTCCGGGTATCTTGGGGGTCAGCAGTTTCGCACGCGGTCAGAACGGTCAGCAGACTACGCGTGTGGTCGGAGTCCAGCCCAGCCCCCTGTCAGTTTCCAACTGAAACACAGCCGTGCCCATTCTGTTACGCGTAGAGCCCAAAGCCTAAAATATTTACTGTCTGGCCGTTCGCGGAAGGAGGATGTTGAGCCCTGGTTTAGAACTGACTCTCACCTTGATCTGACCTTGCCCAGTGTTCCAGGCCCCTGGCTTGTGGCCAAAAGGCATCTGTTGGGCCAGATTGGAAGACCCAGAAATGTGGTTAGCAGGGATCTTTCTCTATGCACGGAGCACGTTTTAGGACATAATAAAAACAAATGCAAAACGCCCGCTGTCCCAGGCCCTCCCCGGAACGTCACCTCCACTGAGTGTTGGAGAAGCGTGTGACACAGGTGGTACCCAGGCTACAGATGAGCTCAGGAATGCGAAGGACGAAGCTTAGTGGTAAAGCCGTGATTGTCCTGTGTGAGTGTGGGAGCCCAGGACAGGGCCCGGATGCACCCCGGGCTGCTGTCCTGGGACAGTGGATGGCGGCCAGTCAGGGTCCCCGGGGTCTTGCAGCAGTGGCCCATAATTAAAAATGGACAGAAGAGTGAATGAATGGCTTCTCTCTTCTTGCATAGCAAAGAGGTGGCTAGGTGTGCCCAGCAGGAAGGTGGCGGGACAAGAAGGAAGTGTCTTCAGCTAGCATGGAGGAGGGTAGCGGGGGATGACAAATGATCAAGAGTGACCCTAGCATTGTCATGGCAGTTGACCACCCAGGACCTGACTCAGGTGGTAGAATGACCCCAGTACACAGAGTGGGCGGCCCAGGTGCCCTTGTGAGGAAGTCACCCCAGAGTGCTGCAGGGGGTGCCCCCGCCTCTCCCCAGTCTCTCCCCAGCCTCCTCCTGCTCGGATGGTGTTTCCAGCTGAGGCCCTGGGCAGTCACATGAACTCTCCTAGGACATACCCCTCCTCCTCCTCCTCCTTCCAGGGAGCTGCCGTCTGTCCCCACAGGGTCCTGCAGAATTGGGAACATGGAGGTCACTGGACACCAAGCAGAGGGGGGTTGTCCAGCCAGAGAGATGGGCTGGGGGCCCACAGGTGACTCTGAGAGCCGAGGGGAAGGTGCAGCCGCCTCTGCCTTTAGCGAGGCCCCACTTCCACACCAAGCCCTGAAAGGTTGTCCTTGGAGATCCAGATGTGAAGTCACAGTACCCACAGGACGTTCTCGCACCAGGGCAGTCACAGCTGCAGAGGGACACAGCTCTGTCCCAACCTGAGCTCACTGGGCGCAGGAGTCCTAGCCCACCTCCGACAGATGGCTGTGCCTCTGGGCACAGGGGCCCTCTAACTCACCAGATGGGGGTAAGGAGTGTGAACTGCCCCTGGCATCGGGTTTGGAGGGCTGAGCCTTCCATGGGACCTTCTGCCCTGGGCGCGCCCGCAGGAGGCCTGTGCCCTGAGGACGTGACCCGTGTGGCCCGCTGCAGACCCCGTGAAAGCGGCAGCCAGCGCTCGGCAGTCCCCGGATGTCCCTGTGCCTGGTGGCCCACGGCCTCCCCACACTGGCGTCCCTTGTGTTCTCTTGATCACCTTTCTCGGGCACCTTAGTGACGCTGCAGGACTCTGTTCCCAGCCCCCCGCAGGCTGTCCTGTTACATTACTTAGCCAGGAACCTGCTTCCCCCTTGTCCGGCAGGTCCTGTCTCCCAGACCCAGCAGCCAAGTGTCCCTTCTGGAGGCCAAGGAGGTTTTGATGGCAGAAAGAACCCTCGCTCTGCGCGAAGCCATGGAGCCCAAAGGGCGTAGGATCTTTTGTTTCCAGGGCTGGACCCAGGGAGGCGGTGCCGATAGACCCGCTTCTCCAGCCCTGGGTCCCCACTCCCTTAAAGGCTCTACAGGACAGTGCGCCAGAGAGGGGCAGGGGCCATGTGGTTGGACCTCCTCCCCCAGGGCGCTACGTGGGGGTGTGGACGGGCAAAAGCGGCAGTCAGTCATCTTGGTGTTGCCCAGAACCGCCTGGGGTGGGTGACAGCGCCTGCATCTCTGTATCAGAGCTCCTTCCTGGGTGGGACAGGGACCCGCTGGGGGAGTTGCTCTGGCCTTGGGGTGGCCGGGAGGCTCCTAGGCTCTTCCCTCCACGTGCATACAGGGATGATCTGTAGCAGTTGTGTCTCAAGAATGGATTAACAGCGTGAGTGCCGGGGCGGCTGTGTTGGAGGAGGGCTGGGACCTCAGCACCCCTCCTTCCCCTCTCTGCAGCCAGGGTCCTGGGCACGCTTCAGCTCGACCAAGAAGCTGCCCGTGTGTTTTTGCTGACTCAGGCTTCTGTGCCACCTTTGCCTTCTGCCTTGTGTAACCCCGACTGGGTACCAGTGGGCATCCACGGAGCACCCCAAGCTCGCCTGGCATGCTGAGAGTGACGCCCAGCCCCGTCCTGCTGCTCCCCACAGACCTCATGGTCCATGGTGGTGCACAGTGACAGCATGGCCTCAGGGAAGGGGCGTTTCATTCTGCACCAGGACCCCAGGCTGCCCGGGCATCTCGGGTGCGAGGGAGCCGGGGCTCCAGACTGCCGGGCCGTGCTGCGCCCTGCGCTCCTCGCTGACTCCGTTTCCCCAGTCCTGTAGCCCTGCTCACTGGCCTCCGTTTCTCTCCCCCACCAGGCACCCTGGGCGTGCGGAGGTCTCCTGGCAGTCTTCCCAGGAATCCCAACTACCCTGCAGTTGATGAGTTTGCCTTGGGAGTCCGAGAGCCGGTGAAACCAGAGGCCACCATGGGTCAGAAGGTCACTGGGGGGATCAAGACTGTGGACATGCGGGATCCCACGTACCGGCCCCTAAAGCAGGAGCTCCAGGGCCTGGATTACTGCAAGCCCACACGGCTGGACCTGCTGCTCGACATGCCCCCCGTGTCCTATGACGTCCAGCTGCTGCACTCCTGGAACAACAACGACCGCTCGCTCAACGTCTTCGTCAAGGAGGACGACAAGCTGATCTTTCACCGGCATCCGGTGGCCCAGAGCACGGACGCCATCAGGGGCAAAGTCGGGTACACAAGGGGGCTGCACGTGTGGCAGATCACATGGGCCATGCGACAGCGGGGCACGCACGCGGTGGTGGGGGTAGCCACGGCGGACGCCCCCCTGCACTCTGTCGGGTACACGACCCTCGTGGGGAATAACCACGAGTCCTGGGGCTGGGACTTGGGGCGCAACCGGCTCTACCACGACGGCAAGAACCAGCCAAGCAAAACGTACCCGGCCTTTCTGGAGCCGGACGAGACATTCATTGTCCCTGACTCCTTCCTCGTGGCCCTGGACATGGATGACGGGACCCTGAGCTTCATTGTGGATGGACAGTACATGGGAGTGGCTTTTCGGGGACTCAAGGGCAAAAAACTGTACCCTGTAGTGAGTGCCGTCTGGGGCCACTGTGAGATCCGCATGCGCTACTTGAATGGACTCGATCGTAAGTGTTGCCTGCGACGTCCGAGGCTGCGCTGTCCCTATGTCCCCATAGTCCTGGCTGGGCTTGGGTCAAAGGTTTATGTAGTAGTTAGGTTTTGTTTTTTTTTTAGACAGGCTCTCGATACATAGTTTTGGCTGGTTTTGAATTCACTAAGTAGCTCAGGCTGACCTTGAACTTGCAGTGATCCTCCTGCCTCAGCCTCCTCAGTGCTGGGGTTATAGGCATGCACCACTATGCCCAGCTTTTAAAATGTTTTAAAGTAGATGTCCCGTTGTATTGGGACCTTCAGAGGCCAGGCTTGCCTGCATCGAGTTAAATGAAGAATTCTAGGCAGAGTTTGCTACATTACCTACCAGTGATTTGTAGATGACTGGATGGGTGGATGTTGGATGAATGAATGGTGGATGGATGATGGATGCATGGTGGATGGAGGGTGGGTGAATGGTTAGATAAATGGATATTGAATGGATGGATAGATGAATGAGAAGTGGGTGGATGGAGGATGGATGGAGAGTAGATGGATGGAGTGGGGGGGCTAGATGGGCAGATGATGGATGGCCGAGTGGGTGCATGACAGATGGATGACAGGTGAATGAGTGGATGGGTACGTAGCTGAGTGACCTTTATCTCCGATAAGCCACCTTCCCTGTTTGATGTGCAGTTGATCAAATTCTAGCACAGTAGCCAGTCTGTTGTTGAGTTGGGGTTTGCAGCCTGAGGCCTCTCAGGTAAATGAAAACCGGTGACTGCTTGCACTCACTGGACAGATTTGGGTCTTTGTCCTGGTGCCGGAGGCTCCTCCGATGCATGGTCCCAGGTGGGGCCATTTAGTCCTGATGTCAGGAGCCTGCAGGGAAGGAGCCCGGCTGGGAAGCAGGGTGCGTCTGCAGTAGGTTCCGTGTGTCCCTTGGGAAGGGGGACGGCACTTCTCAGACCCAGCGTGGTGTTCTGTGCCGGTGGGGTGGAGGTTCTGTGGTGCCCAGCTAGGCATCCGTGCCAGCGGGGAAGAGGGGGCTTGGCATTCTGGGACTGCCCGCCCCTCCTGGGCCCTCCCTCCAGGAGCTTCTGCCGTGTGGCCCCTCTCCACCCGCAGACTCTGGCTCAGGAAGGGGTCCCAAAGCCTCACCCACCTGTGAGTGACCATCTTTAAGGACGGGCCTGGCCTGGCACCTTGGGTCCTAACCCCACCCCGGGAGCACAGGCGGTCTCACAGTGTGGGGTCCTCCCGGTCCCCCTCTCTGCCTTGTCAGCCTTGGGATGATCCCGGAGCATCCAGGCATTCGGGAACACTAAGCCCTTCTCTCTCTCCTTTTTTTTTGTTTTCGTTTTTTTCCGGTACTGGGACTCGAACTCACGAACTTGCGCTTGCCAGGCAGGCGCTGTGCCGCTGAGCTAAATCCCCAGCCCCTTAGGCCTTCTGTTTGGAAGCCTCCCCTCTCCTCTTTCTCCCGGTCCTGGCTTTGCATGGGTCACAGCACTCCTGGCAGAGGTGGCTCAGCTGCCCCAGCAGGGGTGGGCACGATGGAATGCGGGATCTCAGCAAGATGGGACCCTGGCTTCAGGGTGCCTCCCTCCTCCCACCAGAGCAGTGTTGGAGCCAGGAAGCGAGCGCAGGTGGGGGCCTGTCCTCGCCCGGCCGCCGAGGGAGGCTGTGGGTCCCAAGGGAACTCTCGTGAGCTCTGGGAGTTCGCACAGCCACTGTGTTCCCATGTCCAGCCCGGGAGGGGTCTGGGGCCTGTTTGCCCCTGGCCGGTGATAGCGATTCCGCCGATGCGTCCTGAGGCCCACACCCGAGTCCACTCTGTTTATCTCTGCGTCCGAGGGGAAGTTGGGGGCTTTGGTGACTTTTCTTGTTTGGAAAATCCCAAAGGGGCTGGGAGGCTGATGAGAACGGGAATACTTTATTGGGAACCATATCTGTGAGCTGGAGTCTGTATCACATCAGGACACTGTCGACAGCGAGGAGCCCGTTCCTCTCCACCCAAGTCAAAATGCCTGGCCTTCAGGGTCTTGGTCCGTCCTCCCCAGCCCTGCTCAGACGTGACTGCTTTGGAGGGTCCAGACGGGAACGGGGATGTGGTCAGTTCCGGCGATGCGGAGCAGCAGGTCGGAGCATGGCGCATTGCGCTCTGTCCAGGGCAGGTGAGGTGTGCTGTGCTGCATGCCTCGGGGGCTTTCGTGGGGGGCAGCTGGCGTGTGAGGAGCTCCTGGCTGCTGCACAGAAACGCAGGGTAGGGAGAAAGTGGCCGCCCTGACAGTTGGACGTGAGGTGGGAAAAGGGCGCATCGGGCTCCATGTGTCACCCTGTGGGGGGATGGGCTGCCCTCACACACAGGTGGCATTTAAGGCTGTACCCCTGGAGTAAGTCACCCAAAGAGTGGGCCAGACCCTCTTGGAGGAGGGAGGCCCGGGGGGCTGACTAAGAGTGGTCACTGGCTGGAGGGGACTAAGGGTGTGGTGGCCAAAAAGCCTCAAGGAAGACGAAGTAATGACAGTGCAGGTTCAGTGACAGCTGCTTCGCGACGGGGACCAGAAGGTCATCGGTGACTTCGCCAGGAGTCACTGGGGTGGGGTGGGGTCACAGCGTGGTGGAGGAAGCAGGCGGTGGTCATTCGTTTCCTGGGGTTACCATAACAAATGACCGGCGTCTGGGCTGGGCCGATTAACGGGACAGAAATGCGCGCTGTCACTGTGCAGAGGCCTAGGTCAGAAATCAACCTGTCAGCGGGCCAGCTCCCTCCGGTGCCGGTGCCGCAGGAGAGGCCGCTCCCCGCCCGGCTCCCCCACGCTCCGCTCCTGCTGGCCACCGCAGCCTGGGCATCCCCGGCTTGAATCCGGACTCGTCCCTCCCTGCCCTGCCCCGCCTGGCCTGCTCCCACTGTGAGGCTGTCTCTGTGTCCTGGGTGGTAGATGTAGACCACTCTCGTGCAGTGTGACCTCACTGAAAGTAATTACATCTGCAGAGGCCCTGTGCCCAGGCGGGGTCTCATCCTGAGGCTGCGGGTGCTCGTGAATCAGGGGACACCCACAATCCCTGTGGATGTGGACACAGGCTGTCCTGGCCCCAGGCTGCTACCTGGGGGATGCGACACAAGGTCTACTGCTCCTTGCCTGGCAGCGTCCCTCTGGATGCCGGGCCCCTGCGGGTGAGGTCGGTGCACCCCAAGCCCGCTGTCTGGGAGAGTGCTTGGCCTTCCGAGGCAAATGAGGAAGTCAGGTCACTGACTTGAATCCTGTCGGCCACCCACGGGGCAGGCATGACAGGCAGAAGCCCCGGCCAGCTCTCACACCTGTGTCACCTCGGTGTCAGGCCAGATGGTTGCCATCTTGGAAGTGCCCTGCTCTTGGGGACATCCGGGAAATCGCCCAGGTCCCACTGACCCCGCCTCAGGGCAGCCTGGCATAGGCGCCCTTCATGGGGTCTCCTGGGTGCCAACAGTCCCCACAGTTAGGCAGGGTCTCCCCAGCAGAGTCCCTCCCTCATGCCAGGCCAAGCAAAGGCCTAAGTTCCCAGGGTGTCCCTGCGTGACCTCCCTGCTGTCCAGCCTGCACTGACCACAGGCCACTCACCTCTGTGCCAAGGCTGCAAGCCCTTGCTGTCTTTCTGGGGGCAGGGGTGGCGGAGACAGCGCCTGGAGACCCAGGAGGAGAAGGGTTCTGCATGCAGCAGCTGGCCAGTGCGCCGGGGACAGCCCTGACCTCGAGATCCTCCAACCCGAGCCCCCACTGCTTCCCACAAGACGGCATCTCCCCTGACACTCAGAGTGCCCCTCTGCACCCTACAGCTAAGTGTTCTGAGGGCTGCCACGGTCTGGGGTTCGGGGAAGGCTTGGAGCCTTTGACTCCCACGATGCTGTCCTGGGTGCTGATGGCTGCTCCTTCCTTCACGTACGACCCACGCGGGCTCTGGGAGGCCTGGTCACCCTCCCCGCCGCCCTGGTCACCTTCTGGTGCGAAGAAGCCTACAGATAGCCGCTTCTCACAGAAACACCAAAGCCGGCACACAGGCTTTTCTGGTTCCGCAACCTTCTGCCCCACAAAGCACCTCACTTACTTCCTGATTTCCTGTCTGCACGTTCAGATCACCTCCTCTCATTCATATAAATCATTTCCCGGAATGAACCTCTTAGCTTCCGGAGTGTGGGCATGGACGCAGAGGCCGGGCCAAGAAGGCAGATGCCCACCCACCCGGTGGAATTACAGTGGGCACCGGGTCTGTGGGTGGAGCTGAATACGAAGCCCACACTCTTGGAGTGACATATGCTAAAGGCGCTGCTTGCCCAGACAGGGCCAAGCGGCCCAGTGGGGATGCCAGGGAGGCCCTGGGTTCAAGTCCCAGCTTTGTCCCCTCCAGCAGGACAGCCTTGGACCAGTTATTTAAACTCTGTCACATTCCTCTTTTGTAAACTGGGGACGGTGGTGATCGTGGCATTTCTGTGACCGTCACATCATCACTCACGATCACCGTCGTCCACGTTGGCACATGGCTTACAGAAGGGCACTGCCACAGCAGCTTCTCTAGGTTAGCTATTCAGTTAGAATTAAAATCAAATTCATGGGGCTGGGGATTTAGCTCAGCGGCAAAGTGGCTGCCTCGCAAGCGCAAGGTCATGAGTTTGATTCCTAGTACCACAAGAAAATAAAATCAAATGCATTAGAGGTCAGCCTGGGCTACAGTGAGTTCGAGGCCAGACTGAACTACATAGCAAGACCCTGTCTGAACAAAAAAATTCACTAAGTGTTTATTTATTAAAATCTATACGAGCTAGGAGTGGTGGCGCACATCTGTAATCCCAGCACTCGGGAGGCTGAGGCAGGAGGATTGTTGCAAATTCGAGACCAGCCTGGGCTACAAAGTGAGCTCAAGGCCAGCCTGAACTGCATAGTGAGACCCTGTCTCGAAGACAAAAGAAAAATAAATAAATAAAATAAAATAAAAGTAAATAAAATTATATGAAGCCAGGCATGGTGACACATACCTGTAATCCCTTTATACATTAAAGTGTTTCATATATACAGCAGCCAAGACAGAAAGGTCTCAAGTTGGAGCCCAGCCTAGACAACTTAGCAGCACAGCCAGAACTTGTTTAAAGAGTAAAAAGGGCCGGGGATGTAGTTCAGTGGAAAGCCCCCGCTTCAATCCCCAGTGCTGGGGGCTGGAAATCTTGGTGCGTGTTAGTCCTGTCGCCCTGGACCGGAGCTGTGCAGCTGACCTGAGTTCTGTCTCCTCTCTGTTTTCCCCAGCCGAGCCCCTGCCGCTCATGGATCTCTGCCGGCGGTCCGTGCGCCTGGCCCTGGGGAAGGAGCGCCTGGGTGCCATCCCGGCGCTGCCCCTGCCCGCCGCGCTCAAGGCTTACCTCCTGTACCAGTGACCCAACCTGGACCACCACGTGACCGCTAGAGGTGCCGCTCACTGAGCCCTGCGCCCAGGACTGCAGCCCGCGGCGAGTGCCGCTCAACCTCCCCGTCCTCCGGCCGCCTCTGCTGGACCGGACCGGACCGGACCGATACCACCTGGGCCCTGTTCCTCCCTTCCGGGCTGCCCGTCATAGCCCCTCCCTGGAACCAGACGCAGAGAATAAACTCCTACGAAAGCCTCACGCAGCTCCTGTCTGCTCTGGGGGGGCGGGGACTGCTCTCCACGCCCTTGGGGACAGCCACAGCCATGGGGATCCAGGGGTTCTGGGGCCACGGGAGGGGCCAGAGCTGGAGGGCAGATACCAGGCGGGCGAAGGACCAGGGCTGGGCTGTGCCAGTGAAGCTCAGGACACCAAGGCGGAACCCTGCCTTGCTCCTCCCGAAGGCAGATGGGCACCCAGCACCCAAGCCGGTGCTGAGACCCACACCCTGTATTTATTCTTTTAACAATAACAAAGGTCATTTATTTATTCCACTTAGAAAGAAAACCCTATTTCAGTCACCTCTCTCTTCGGGGCGTTCTGTTGCCCTCCTCCCACCTGCCGCCTGCCTGGAGCTTGTGTGCCGCTGCGTGCGGGGTCCTTGTGCAGGTCCCTGACCGGTGTCGGGGCTCCGTACTGAGGTCCCCAGCAGGCCCCTCAGGAAGCATAGCTTCACGTGCAGTATGAGTCTTAGGCCGCCCGCGTCCTCACACAGCCACTTACCTCTGAGTCACACACTGCTGCACATGTCTTCTGTCATCTGTGATTTGGGGGAGGGGTGGTTCCACTTTCCATCCACTTCTGTAGCGGAGATTCTTTCCCACGGGCATCCTCGGAAGCTCCCTGGTCCAGGGGAGCACAAAAGCAAAGAAGGGGTCTCCATCCTGAGAATGGGGGGAGGGAGGCGGGGGAGTGGGGACACCAGGAGAGGTGTCCAGCCCTGTGGAAGCCCTGGTCTCTCTCAGTGCCCCACCAGGACTCAGAGGTCCCACAGGGAGTGAGCATTCTCTCACCCGCCCCCAGGAGGGCACGCAGCAGACCTGCTCAGAGACACGGCAGTGCCCCCCGTGAGTCCCTCCTGTGCGCCCACACCTGCCAGCGCCTCGCCATTTCTTTTACCTTGAAACCAGCTGCTTTAGAGTCTGAGTTCTGTTCATGTCTGCACAGGTACAATAGATGACTTTATTTGTTTAAAGTGTTTAATATATATGCATATATGTGTGTGTCCATAAGAATTATGTTGTAAGCAGCTGCTGTAAGGTACCTTAAAAAAAAAAAAAAACTTACAGTGGAATATATTTTTCAAAGCACAAAATCGGTGCCAAGACTAGGTAGGAATGTAAGTTACCCCCTTCACATTCTGAGGGCTGTTTTTTCCCCGCTTGGGGCGGGGGTCTTTGGTGTCAGACTCTTGAAGGTTTTCCTTGCTCCCGTTGTGAAGAATGTTGCACTCGAGAGGGGCTCGCTCGTACACGGGCGCTCGTGTCGCCTGGCTCCGCAGTCCCTAGGGTGCTGGGGAAGCGTCCGCTCTCTCCACGTCTCCCACCCCCCAACTCCCTGGACCCTTCCCCATCTGCCCAGAGCCTTGTACAGTTTTGAAACTCCTGTTTAATTTTATGATGGCTCATACTAGTCAGTAACCTAATAAAGGAACCTTTGCTAAGATACGAACCACTGTGGCGTCCTTGCTTTGTGCTTTGGGACAGGGGCAAGCGGGAGGGCCGAGCACTCCCTGGTCCAAGGCCCACACTGCCCACAAGTTTCCCTGCCACCCTTGGGTGGTAGAAGAAAGTCCCTGAGGGGTGACCGTAGCACGTGCCTTTTGGAAGCCTGGAACCCTACGCCCAAGGTGGAGAGCTACAGATGGAGTAGAGAGCAATTCTCCGCAGTGATGAGTGCCTCGGGAGGAGCGGGTCGGCCTGGGTAGGAAGCGTGCACTGACCCTGGGCTTGTTCGGAGGAGAGCAGCGGCTGGGGTGGCATCATCAAGAGTCCGGGCTCAGCACTCGAAAGGAGCAGATCTTTGTTTTGTGTCCCCAGTGTCCAGCCTGGGGATACAAAATGTAGTGACACCTGCAAAGCCTTTTCCCAGTGCCCTTGCTGTACTGACCACTGCAGCAGAGCCCTGCAGAAAAGAGGGGAAATTCGGGCCTGTTTAAGAGGACGGATGAGTGATACTGTAAAGAGTTGAGAAGTGTGCGCAGTGTCAGGACTGGTTTCCAGAGAACCAGCAAAACCCTGTGTGGCTCACCAGGGCATTGTTCTTATCCTACTGAGGTGCCTGGTCCAAGGTCCTGGGGCCCCTGGAACCAAGGTACCCTCTGTCTCTGAGAGCCTCCTGACTCACTTTTCTCAGATCTACTTCAGGAGCCTGCCCCTGGAAGGTGTTTGCCAAAACGTGGATGTCCAGGGCCCCACCTGAGATGGGCAGAATTCACATTTCTGGGGCCAGGCCGGGAAGGTGTACTTTCCCCAGACGCCCCAGGTGACCTTGCCTAAGTGAGACTCCACGGTTTGTGACTGCGTCAGCTCTTTCTCTTGCAAAGTTGCTGGGTAAAGGGAAATTTGCTCAGTGTGTCGGTGGCTTGGCCCAGGGATGAGCGCATAGACGCCTGAGTCAGACCCGGGTTCAAATATTGGCTCTGTGGCCTTGCACAGGGCTCTATAAAATGGCACTCGTTGCTTCGCCTGCCTCATGGGGGGACATGAGGCTCCCAGAACAGGTCCAACATCTGGGCAAGTTGTGCCATCAAGTGTTTTAAACACATACCTTTCTGGAGCAAGGGCACTTCCTGCAGGGATCTTGGGAGGATGGACCGTATGTTCGTGAACCAACTTCCTGCTGAAGGTAGGTTCTCCAAAGATCAAGGTGGATGTTGGGGAAGGCGCCCCCAGATGCCTGCCCCAGACGTGGGTGGAGGAAAGGGGTGGTCTAGAATTATTTTTAGGTTGGAGTTCATGTCTGGGTTGCAGTTGGAGCTGGGGCTTCCTTTGAAGGGGTGGCTGGGGAGGAGTGGGGTCAGGCATGGGGGGCGGGGGAGGCAGGGGAAAATGAGGGCCTTTCTGCTGCTGGGGAGCCTGCTGGGGGAGCAGGGTTCTGTGCTGAAGGGAGCGGAATTAATAAAACCATCTGTGCAGACTTGGCCCATGCGGTTGTAATTAATCCCCTGCCTTCGAGCAGGTAGCCGGCGCTCGGGGCTTGGCCATAGATGGGAAGACTCCCGGCTCCGTTCTCCCGCTCCTCAGCAGGATGAAGAATGTGCACTTTACTGAACCATAAACTATGCTGGGGAGCTGGGGAGGGGGTCGAAGACAGAGCAATTAGTTCATGCTCCAATCCAGACACCCAAACATGGTTGGATTCCAGCTGCAAGGAATATTTGAAATAAATGAGCTGCCCAGGGCCAGGAGTTTGCTGTTTTCTGTACGGGGCCATGGCAACCGCGGAGGAAATCATGAGCTGGGATTGGGCTCAAGAATCAACAAATGATGTCCTGGCCGAGCGAGCCCGGAGGAAGCCGCTCACGGCTCTCCTAGGGTTTCTCAGGACTTGGCCGCTGGCAGGCAGGACACGGCCCGACCATCCTCCGGGTGTATTGGGCCGCAGTGTCCTTTTCTGGGCCTGACTGGTTTTTTGGTAAGAAAAGAGAAAAGTAGGGGTTCTCTGGAACCCCTCTTCCCAAGCCAGAGAAGAGCACTACCCTCACCGCCCATCCAACAGTGACTTTCCCAGCCAGAGCAGATGTTCTCGGTGGAGAAGCCCGGGCTGAGGCCAGCCAGTCGGAGGGACGGTGGCCCTGACTTCTGACCTGGCCCTAGGTCTGTCTTCCTGCCAGGCCCACTTGCAGCTCATCTTGGTCTACCTCGAGGCAGAAGGGCCTCCTCCAGCACCCTTTCCCCTGACAGTGTCTGATGCTGGGCCTGCCTGCAGCTGTCCCTAGATATGTGGTTTATTAATCCCAGGAAGCCTGAGACACGAACAGCCAGGTCTGGGTATCTGCACTGTCCTCACCCTGGTGACCCTGATACAAAAGCTGCCATTGGCCTGGGGGGTCCCTTGGGTCCCAGAAGTGGTCAGAGTCACAAAGTCCCCTCTGCCATTCCCCCACGACCCTTCAGGGACCGGAGCCTCTTGGTGGCCCACGCGGCAGAAGATTCCACGGGAAGTTAGCCCAGCTCACCCAACCGTGTCTGTGCTGGGTATCAGTGTGGCAGTGCCAACATCTCACCCGTGCACAGAAGTGCTGCCCTTAGGAGTGAGCCCAGCAGGTCCCCAGGGAAGCAGTTGGAGTACAGGCAGGGCCACCTTGGCCTGGATTCTTCCCATGAGCCTTGGGTGCCCCAAGGGAATTCAGTGCTGGAAAGCTGAACCAAGAGCAGGGAGACATCATCAGCTCTGCAAGCCATCACCCAGGCAGGACCCTTCTGCAGGACCATCCACTCAAGAGCGGCTCTTTGACTGCACTGAAGGTGAAACACCCAGATCTATCATTTTAAAGTGCATACTTCATGGGCCGGGGATATAGCTCAGCGGCACAAGCGTCTCCCTGGCAAGTGCAAGGTCCTGACTTCGATTCCCGGTACAAATAAATAACTAAAGTGCATACTTCAGTGCCGTTTAGCAACTACAGTGTCGTACACTCCTCTCCATCTAGTTCCAAAATATTCCCATCACCCCCAAAGCTACCCCTAACCTGAAGTACCCACTGGCACCCACTAATCTCCTTTCTGTCTCAACGTGGTTTTCTGTTCTCAACGTTTCAGATCTATGGAGTTGTACACCATGTAGCCTCTGGGTCTGTGTTTCTTATTTCCAATTGGCTTTTAAAGGGGCAACTCTCTGACCCGTGCTAAAACTCTCCTTTGTGTCCTTATTTGTCAAATGGGGGAAGTATTTCCTCTTATTCGGGTTGTTTGAGGATTTGTGAGCCAAGGTCTCCAAAGTGCTTAGAAACGCTGTCTGGCCGCAGATCAATAAATGATCAAGGATCAAGGATGATTCCCTGGATGCCCAGAGACCCTGGTGTGTGTCCTAAGCTGCTGAAGCCCGGCCTTTCCCAGGAGGTCACCTTGCAGGGAAGTGGCCTGGGCCCAGAGTCCTAGGATCAGCACGCAAATTCTCTTCCTGGGAGCAGCACACCTTCTACCCACACCTTCAGAACAGAGCTCAGGACAGTACCCCGACACTTCCGTGGCCGTGATGGTTTATAAATCAGTACGAGTACAAGGCCCAGCCCAGGGCCAGGCCTGTGGTGGGCGCTGCCAAGCAGGCTTCCCATGGGCATTGGACACAAGCCGTCTCCCTCCTCCCCTGGCCTCCCACGGCCCGTCCCATAACATCAGATTTGCTTGAGAACTGATCGGTGTTCTACCAGACGGAGCACAGGGTCACCTTGGAAACCACAGGACCAGGCTCAGGCCAGAAACAGGTTGGGAGGAGGAGGACTTGCACTCTTTCTCGGTGTCCCCTCTGGCTATAGTGCATGGGGCCAGGGTCTGGGGAGGGTGGCCGTAGCAGGCTTGTTGGGAACAGAAGCCCGGAGCCCCTCTGTCTCCCTATGGGACAGCGGTGTGGCCGGCAGCCCTCAGTCTCTCCAGCAGGGCCACTCTGAACTGATCGTACAAGGACATGGAATGTGAGCCCCGAGCTATTTAAAGATCTCGGGAGGCTGGAGGCTTGGCTGGGCCCAGGCCAGGCAGGGGTGCCTCGGTCGGCGGCAAAGGGCTCCTCCGTGCACATGGTTTGATTTACAGGAGGGCCGCGAGCCGCTCCAACTGTAGACAGAACTATTTGAAGCAGCTGCCAGATGTTGTGTCTGAGCTGGGTTTTTACAACTTGCTTACTGGTTAGCAGCCTGCCTCCCGCCGGAGTTCAGCTCACCCCAGTGGGTTCAGAGGCCTGGCGCGGCGCCCTTCGGCTCAGCCCCAGCCTGTCCTGCCTTGCGTGGAGCCGGGATGGGAGCTCGGTTTCCGAACCATCTACCTTCCCAGGGAACCCTGACTTCAGGACGTCTCTCAGGGCCCCTAAGAATGCCCTGGCTTGTTCTGTCGGGGGCCTCCAGAGAAGCAGGAGCCCTGAGCCCAGACGGGTATGCAGCAAGGCACCCCTTGAAGCAGGCCCCAAGTTCCAGGACTGTCCCCAAGCAAGTGGGTGTCTCTGTCCCTCCATCCTGGCCCCTCCCACACATTTCCCTTTGACCCCCTGGTGCCAGCCTCTTAAAATTGACCATGGAAAGCTATGGGGACTAGGGCTGGGGCCGCAGCTGAGCCAAGGCCTTTTAAAAGGTTCTAGAAGGTTCTAGAAGTCCCAGGGATGCAGGGAAGGACCAGTAGGACCAAAGTAGAGATGAAGGCACTGTGTCGCACCAGGACAGCCCCGTTGGGTGGACTGGGTTTCCCCCAGCATGACACTATTGGGATTCACTTGAAGCTGGGGGTGCTTCTCAGTCCCTCCCCCCAAGGAGGCCTGTGGTGAGAGGCGCATGACTCAGGCCCATGGCCACCTCCTGAGGCCCCTTGGAAAGGACTTGGAGCAGTTTGGGTGACAGGGGAAGGGGCGGGGAGGAGGGCGGGGCGGCGGGTGGAGCCCGTGATTAATCCAGCTGCATGTGAAAGCACACTCGTGTCATCCGGGGACCCAGGACACCGCCAAAGCGGACAAAGTGTTCAGTC